AGTACAGTTTCTGTGTTACACATAAAGCATATTCAGAGCATGATTATGAGGTCTGCTTCCTTAAAAGACAGGGCAAGGGAATGGCATGTTTGTGAGTCAAACCTGAACCTAGACATGGATTCCAGCACTAACTCTTCTGTGATTCTATGAAATGGATATTTATCTGCTTGTTTGTTTTATGGTGTACCAGCCTCTGGGGAATTTTATTGTTACAAAACAGAGGCATCTACAGCTCTGAAATTACTTTAGGGTTAGCTAGAGGAGTTGGAAAACAGATTTTTAAAAATATAACCACTGATTCTTGTAAGTTCCAATTTATATATGCCAAATACTTTATCAGTTAAATCAAAGTGTGTGCCAACACCCACTGGCTTTGTTTAAAACATAAATGAGATTTTGTTATCGCTGGAGCAAAACTTTATAATGGACCAATCCCTTAAAACACCTCCTAGTTCTAATTACAGAAGAGAATCACAGAATCATTAAGGCTGGGAAAGACCTCCAAGATCATGAAGTCCAACCTCTGACTGAGTATCACCATGAAACATATCACATCTGCTCATTTTCTGAACACTCCCTGGAATGGTGACTCCACCACTTCACCACTTTTATAAAAAAATCACATAAATCTGCAGCTGGAGAGGTTTATCCAAGCAGTTTTCTTGTGTGCTTAAGCAATAAGAGGCTCTGTTTTTGTTGCACTGACTTTGTAGAAATTAAGTTGATACTTAAAAATAGACACAATTTATGTTTTCCTGTCTCAAAGTCATTGACTGGCTAAAGTTAAAATCATGATCAACACTGAGGTGAGCTAAATTCAATGACCAGGATAACAAGAGTTTTGGCATATTTATCATTTCTTTGTAGGTTTGAACAAACTTATCCAGGTAGTAAAAGCTGTTTGTTTTGAACTTAGAATAATAGGATGGCTTGGGTAGAAAAAGAACCTTTATAAGTCATCTAATCTGGCCCCTAACATTACTGTTCTGGTTATCAAACCTTGATCTCAGCCATATCTCATTTTCTACATAGAAAGTCATAATATCTTGAGGATCTTCAGCTATAAAATATGTGGATGTTATTTCTGTATATATAGAAAAAGGAAAATATTAATAATGTCTTACTAAATAAATAACTTTTTAAACAGAAATATCTCATTACTAAAGTTTTTTTAAAGCCTTATTAGAGACAAGAACTCCAAGATTTGGGTCAGAGACTAACTTTTCTCATTGAGAAAATTCCTGCTCAATTCACAATGAGTAGGACATTGGATTATATGACTCTAAAATTCTTTCTTTGTTTCAATGCCTCCATAGAACATTCATCCAAACAAGCAAGACCTCATCCAGGATATCTCATGTTCCTTTTCCACCTCAGTGATTTAGTCACTGTTCCTACCTCACACTTGCTCCTATGTCCTAGGAGCACCACATTGCTGATAGAGGTGATGGTATCTCCTTTTAAATTGTGTTTCCTTGGGTTTTTTTATAAGGAGTGGCACCAGTAGTTCTCAAATATACCAATTTAGTGGGGGTTTTAATGTTTTTTTTCTTTCTTCCCATCAGCAGAATTAAAAACAACAACAAAAAAACAACAAAAAAAAAAATCAAGAGTCTAAATTATGATGCTTGTTCATCCAGAAATTTCCCACATCAGGAAAGTTTTTTGCCATGAGGGTGAATGGCCTCTTGCTACGTGTGTCATTGCAGTGATTGCAGCCCAATTCCAAAAAAATAAAACAGGTTTGGGAAGGAACTATTCTCCACATTAAGGCAATGAAGAATGATGGTGAATCTGGAAGGAAAGAAAGTCTCTACCAAAAATGATCTTGAAAATGTGGTCTGAGGGGTTTGAGAGGTTTTTTTTATTTTTTTTTTTGTGGGGAGGGTGGGTTGTAAACTTTTGTGGGTACATTTATAAGAAAAGGTAATATTTGAACTAAAAGATTTGAGACTAAAAGGAAAAAAACTACCCTTAATGTGTTAGTAAAGAGGAAACTGTAAACTCCATGTATGTATACTTGAGTGTATATATAAATATATATATATATATATACACACACACACACATATATATACACACAGAGACATACTGGTGACTATGATTTATAATTAGCAGGCTGATGTTCAATGAAATTTCTCTTATAGAAAAAAGAATAGCAGTTCTTTAAACTTCTGTCCTTTTGCAACGTGATTCAGAGGGAAGCACAAGGGAATAATTGCTCTCTATTAGATGCTACTCTTCAAGTAATTTGCTTGCACAGTCTCCCATTGAAGTAAACCCTGAAGGTGCAGCTTCTGCAGTTCTGGAAAACAAGAAAGTGAAAATCCCTTTAGAAGCCGACTAGTGTTCCTGTTGTGGCCAAAAGAAGAAACTGGTATTCCTAGATTTCAGCCTTCAGGAAATACTAAAAATTCCAGTAAGAGTCAAGTCATGCTCCCTTTTTCCCATTTACTTCTAAGAGAAATCAAGCAGCTATGATGCAGGCATCTGTGTTTACAGGAATGCCATAATACTTCTGTTGTGAGCTCTGTTGCTGTGTCCTGACCCAGTTCAAGTGATTTTTATCCCACTCCTTTTATTTTCATTTGTGATGATGTCAATATTTCTTATGAAGTCTGCAATATTTACACAGATAAAGCACAGAATTGCAGAATTGGTAAAGCTGGCACAGGGTGCCCAGAGAAGCTGTGGCTGCCCCTTCCCTGGAAGGGTTCAAGGCCAGGTTGGATGGGGCCTGGAGCCACCTGGGACAGTGGAAGGGTGTCTGTGGCACAAGTGGTGGTCTAGATGACCTTTAAAGGTTTCTTCCAACCCAAACTACTCTATTATACTATTCTAAAATAATTTACTGGTGTCTTTATCTGCCAGCTAAATCACATCTTCAGTTCCACTGCTCCCAAAATTGTTGTTTAGTAGTGAAAATACTTCAAGACAAAGTTGTCAGCTAGCAATATCACCCTCAGTTTTGAGAGATAGTACAAAGGTGACAAAAACACCCTTCACTTGTCAATATTGTGTTTCCCTGCCCAACCAGACAAGCTCCAAGCTTGTGAAGCCAAACACAAGCTACAAAAATCTATTTGTGCTATTGCTCCATTCAGCATTAAAGCTGCAATTGATAAATCTAATTTTTATAGTAAGGATGCATTTGCAATAATAAGCATAGTAGACTTGGATTATAATTAAGCACATTCAGTTTTGCAGGATCCAGGAGCTGTTGGTTAATGAAGTTCAATGTGATACAGTCAGTAACCAGCATGATAATTGGTTACAGAAAAAAAGGCAATTTCAACAAATGCTCCTCATGCAGGTGGCTGGGAGAAATTGCTTTCACTCAATTATCTCTTTAATTATTTTGGATGAATGAGGCAGGATCTTTTAGCTCATTATAAGCTCAATTCCACAATAAGTAAGTAAATATTTTGACACAGTGCTGAAACTTCTGCAAAAGCATCTATAATATTTATAAGCATTGGAGAGGTCACATATTGTATTATCATCATTTGGTGCATTCAGTGCCAACTAAAAGAAATTAATGGTTTCGGTAGCCAATATCACTGGAATAATACTGTAAGTAGTCAGTACTTTTCTGGAATATTGACAGAGATTTTATGGCTTATAAATATCCATGTCTGGTATCATCTCTAAGAATGGAGCATTAAGCAATAGGAAACATTTGCCCCGGTTATGTGGTAAACTATATGTTATCATACACTGTATTGGAAAAGCAATATCTATCAATTTAGGAATAGAATTTGATATTAATTTACATCAGAGATAAGACTATATTAAAAAAATATAAGAAAATATGAAATATCTGAAGACTCATTTGATATGGTTGAGGTCCAAATATTGTCATCTTCTCTTCATGTCCCTGTTCATCCTGAAGGAAGAACAGGAGATTTCCACCACTCCCCTGGCTGCCCAAAAAGCCAACTGTAACATTTCACTGGAGCATTTCAGAATGAACATCCACAGTCAAAAATTATTGCTAAGATTTAGGTAAGCCCTTCCTGCATTTGTATATGGGTTTTTTTTATTAATCATTCAATAAAATCACACTCTTTGGTGCATGAATTGTATTACTTTGTCAGAGAGTTTTATGGAAGCTTTCCAGGTGATGCAACTTGCAACACTTCAGGGAATTCAATTTTTTTTTTTCCCTTTTCAGAGATGAGTCTACCACCTGTGTTCATCTAGGCAGTTGCTGGATCTCTTCTACCTTACACGGGTATAAATTTCAGATTTGAGATACCCCTTAGATAGCTAAGACTTCCTTAGAAGCCTTTTGAGGAGGTCCAACATGTGGCCATAAGAAACACTTGTAGCAGATATGGAAAATTTCAAGTATTGTTGGAAAACATCTCTTTTGGGGGAAGGGAAGGGAAGGGAAGGGAAGGGAAGGGAAGGGAAGGGAAGGGAAGGGAAGGGAAGGGAAGGGAAGGGAAGGGAAGGGAAGGGAAGGGAAGGGAAGGGAAGGGAAGGGAAGGGAAGGGAAGGGAAGGGAAGGGAAGGGAAGGGAAGGGAAGGGAAGGGAAGGGAAGGGAAGGGAAGGGAAGGGAAGGGAAGGGAAGGGAAGGGAAGGGAAGGGAAGGGAAGGGAAGGGAAGGGAAGGGAAGGGAAGGGAAGGGAAGGGAAGGGAAGGGAAGGGAAGGGAAGGGAAGGGAAGGGAAGGGAAGGGAAGGGAAGGGAAGGGAAGGGAAGGGAAGGGAAGGGAAGGGAAGGGAAGGGAAGGGAAGGGAAGGGGGGGGAGGGGGAGGGGGAGGGGGAGGGGGAGGGGAGGGGAGGGGAGGGGAGGGGAGGGGAGGGGAGGGGAGGGGAGGGGAGGGGAGGGGAGGGGAGGGGAGGGGAGGGGAGGGGAGGGGAGGGGAGGGGAGGGGAGGGGAGGGAAGGGATATAGAACAAAAAGTTCTCAGAAACAGAGGCTCCAATTTCAATAAAAATTAGGTCCTTTTTATATCATAGAGACATAAGGAGGCACAGGACATCACCACTTCAAGCAGCCAATAGATGTTTTTTATTTCAATTTTTCACCTGAACCAGCCAATAGATGATGATAATTTTGGTTCTTTCAGACCATGATCATGTCCCCAAACTGTTTCTACTTTTTCAGCTGATAAATGGCTGTTACAATTTCTTGTGCTTATCGATGGTATCTCAGGATGTCTCTGGCTTCTGGGAACCCCAGCTGTTCTTTAAGGAGGCCAGATGTAGCTGTCGGGGATGTTTGCAGTATGAAAGTTTTGTTCCCAGGCTCACAGCTGCCAGGCTGGCTGGGAATATCTCTGCCAGTATTTTCCAGCAGACATTTTCTTCTGCTCAGTAATTTTCCCTTTCTAACCAGGCCACATTTAAGGCTGCTCACACTGAAGTCTCTGCAAAGAAGATCCAGTCTCCTTATCCCACCTGCTTTCCTTGTCCAGTTGGAAATTCAGTCCCTCCTCAAACGATGCAGCTTTCTTAGTGTAAATGTCTACCTCCTCCAGTGTGAGCACCTCTATTTCTTCCTAGGAAAAGGAAGTCTTCCTGAAAAAAAAAAAAAAAAATCTAAGATATAACTCAAAATTAAGCAGGATTTAGTCTGGCTATACTACATGCTGTGGAGCTGAAAGAGTTCAAGAAGGTAGAGGTTATAAATCATCATTGATCCTTTTCCTCAAAAGAATAAATAGTATTGGTGATGATAAGAAATGAAGAAAATCTGGAGAAGAAAGAAAGGAGAGGAACTGCAGAAATTAAGGACTGAAACTACTGTTATGCACTGAACAAAATGTCAAGAGTTGCCAAAAAAAAAAAAAAAAAAAAAGCAGCCTTGCTTTGGACTCAATAAAACCAACCTGCTTTCTGAGTGGTCTGAAGAATTCCAGAATTCCTTGAGTTTTCAAGACTATTAGTCTAAAAATATTTTTCTTCAATATGTATTGCACATGCACACAAGGCTCACATGCTCTTAGGTGCTCATATAACAAAAGCAAGATCCTTGCAAAAAGCCTTGGAAAAATCCGTGCATAAAACAAGTTTCTAAGGTAAATTTTATTTTATCCTATTAAATGTTTTGCCTCTGCCATGAGCTGCCTTGGAGCACTGTCCTCATGATGCACAAGGGAAATCTCACCTGATATTTATGACCAATTTTGCATTATCCACAGTGAACCTGACTGCTTCCCCCACATTCCCAAGGATTATAAACCATGGATCTGCTGCTTCATATTACTTGACTGAATGTTAGGTGAATCAGTTTCCTTCATAGTATGTGAAAATGAGCATTTTTAGCAGCCGATTGTGAATTTTCTGGGTTTTTCTGAGATTGTCTGTGCTTAAGGGTGACAAAAAGAAAAGAAAGGATAACTGCAAGAAGTCAGAAACAAGGACTTGTGGGACTGCAGCAGATCGATTTATAGTGCTTACAGATTGTGTGCCCAGATAATTTCAAAGCACATGGTATGAAGGGGTCAGATCAGCCTCATGCCAACATTTTTTGCAGCATCAGGCAAGACTGTCACTTAAGACCCAGCCAAGAGATTTACAATGTAAAATGGTTAGTGCATATGGGCATGAGATTGCCTAAAGTCCCCAGCTGCCAGCGTAGACAAAGCCTTAATTAGCCAATAATGCTGGAAATTTGTGCTTCTATGGAAGTTTTCTTTATTCAGTAAGCAGTTCCCCAAATAGTACTGAATTGAAAACAACAACCAGTTTGACAAGGAATTGAGGAATGTGGCTTAGGTGAGTATATATTAACTAAAAATTCAATCAGCTAGCTAAAGGTAAAAGTTTATCATTATATCTCATGAGACATTTGGTACACTAAATGACTGAGAACATGTTGCTTTTCAAAGATTAGATATCCGTGTTTGGGGATCTAATTCCTCAGCAAGAAACCTGATTACATGGCCTGTTTTATAGATCCAGAGAAATGCAGTTTCCATGAGGGATATAAGAAACTGTAAGCACTTGTTCTGCAGACAAGAACTGTCTGTCCACATATGTGGGCTAAGAAATGCAACAGGTTCTAGGGATTTAGACTCAGTTCTCAGCAGGCATCAAAAATAGCAGCTTTTATAGTCAACTTTAGGTAAAGCCACCAAATGAGACAAAATCCCTTCAATGGTTTCTTTTATTGTTTGAATTAATATTTGTTGTCCCTTATTTTCTTGATGTAGGACATGATGCTGCTTTAAAGAACATTCAACCTTAAGCAGAGAAGTGCACTTTATTTTGTAGTTTTAAATATGCAAGACAGTACAAATATGTTTGTTTGTTTGTTTGATTTCCTTAAGTACTCCCTAACTTGTCTCAGATTCTTGACATCCTTTTGCATGTAGGGAAAAGAAGAGAAGAAATATAACAACATTATTTCCAAAAATACAAGAATTCTGAATTACCCGCTGTGCTGGAGCAGTCAAAATGCTTAAGGTACATATAGGCATGCACAACCAATTGGCCTAAAGCTAATAAAAATCATTGAGGTGTGTCCAAAATGGTACTTTGAAATACTTGCTGTGTCTCATTTGTATGCTAAGCTCTTTAATTCTGGAGGGGTCTCAATTATTTCAGAAATTTTCCTTGACATAATATGTATCATCTATACTTTTCATGTGGCTAAAAATCCTTAGTTGCAGGTGGGCACACTTCATGATCATCTTCAATCCAGGACTGGTTTGGTGAAATTCAAACCTCCATGAACCAATCACATCCAGAACAGTAGTGAGAAATTAATCCCAGGTATTGTTTGAGCTACAAAAATTATCCTGCATTGGGAGAAAAAACCTTTTGCTGTGTCAAACCTTTTTGACTTTGCAACAGCTTTGTGCTACTAAGTACTATTAATACCTACACTTAGTTTCAGAACTTGGTTAATTATGCTATAGTTAAGCTTTTCCTACAACAGAAAAGGTGTGGAAATGAGTGAGACCAGCATTTCTCTTCCAGTCCCAGAACTTCACGGAAGTTAGAATTCAGCAGTCTGAAAATGAGATAAGTACTAGATACTGGTTTCTATTTTTGGGTTACAGCTCCAGTACCAGAGAAAAAGATTCCTTGTCTTCTTTGGAATTGATGTGAAGAAAAGAATTTGTTCCATTTTGCATCACTTCAAAATTTCAAATGGTAACTAATGAACTATGTTTACACTCTGTGTCCCAAAAGTACCTCCTGCAGAAACTCTCCTCACATTTGTAACAATGGACTAAGCAATAAGTGAAGAGTTGATAGGAATTTTTGTGGATATTTGATGTGGTTTTAGCAGTGTTGAGCTGGTGAATCCATTACAGGTCCAAGGAAGGGGATTTGTCTTCCTGTTTGCTTTAAAAAACAATTTTTTGTATTAACAAATGTCTTCATATTCACATAAAGAACTACCTGACACATCAACAGAGATGGGATGTACTGTTATGGCCTTTTCAATGCAGAAGATATGTGAGTTTGTATCTCTTTAGGGAATAAAAGTGGTAAGGGGTAAATTATATGTCTGGGAGTACAATGGCTTCCCCCTGCCCAAATGTGATGGCTCCTTTGGACTTACACCACTGGTACAAAAGCAGGGTCAAAGTGTTACAAAAGCAGTGTCAAACGAGCCAATTTCAGTGGAGCAGGAGCAGGTATTTTGCCAGTTATCTTGTCAGAACAGAACTTTGTGAAGTAAAACCACACATGTGTCTGAAAACACTTTACTGGTTCCTGTAAGTGCATCACTGATAAAAAAAACGCTATGCAATTGGCACACAGGAGGTTAGTTCTTGTGGTACAATGCAAATTATCTGTATTAAAAACTATTTTCAAATCTATAAAAACTATGTCTGCTTTACTCTATAGTTACACTGTGGCCATATTATAATCTTCCAGTTGGCCTTTCTTTTCTATTAAGTTTTGCTGCCTATTAACTAGAAATATATCCCCTTCAAAACTCCTTGCCAACCTAATTCCTTACTGAAATTGCCAGACTCTCATAGTCTTTTTTTTCCTCAATGTTATTTGCCTTGACACCACTTGAGAGAACTCAAGAAAGATGCTACTGTTACAAAGTTGCTTCCAGCTTTTAATCGCCATTGAATTCTAAGATGATCTGCAATGTCTTGTTTTTCAGGTTTCTGAACATCCAAAGAAAGTTCAAGGTATCTTGCCTAACTGCAGATTTCTAAAATTTAAGGAGATGATCCAGTGCAGCCTTTTCATTTTCCCTAGATAAAAAAAAAAATCTACTGCAGAGAATGTTTTATGCCACTTTTCAGACATCTGCAGTGATGTGGAGCCCTCTTGCAGTTGTCCATCTCTCTTCATCTACTACAAGGGGAGCCTACAGACCCTGTTAAATTGGACATTTAATGTGAGAAGATTAAGATGGGTCAGATCAATTCTACCCTCTGCTGAACTGCTATATATTTGCATTTCAATTGAGTAATTATGATCAGATGAAAACCAGAGCAAAGAAATGTGATCCAATTTCTGTAAAAAAAAATTTAAATGTATATAAGATATCTTCTTTTTAATTCCAGAGGAGTCAAATTAAGGAGTTTTCATACCATATAGATAAACATTGCACAGGAGCACACTCTTCACTTTTGTTCAGGCAGAAATTCAAGGACTTGAAGAAGAGGAAAAAAAATGAAGCCTGGCATTTAAGCAAACTGACATCTGTTTAATTAACAGACAACCTGGATAGCTTGGGTTTCTGTGTAAGAGGTTTTCATTTGTCATAACTCTTGAAACTGGAGGAACTGTTTAATCAGCTTCAGCAGAGCATAATCCCTTAACTTTGATACTTTCCCCTCACAGCACTTAGCAATGCAAACAATGTTATGGATACCTGGAAGCATTGCAGCAGATTCACAATAGCAACCTGTCTTAGTCTGCCCATGTGAAATTGTTCCTGAGACAAAAACAAACAACAACAACAACAACAAAAAGAAACTACCAAGAGAAAATGGCTGTCATTTGGGAAACTCATATTAATTGCCTACAGTCATAGTCAATGTGAACCTACTCAGCAAGGAATATTTAACATTATGATTTGAGCAGTCCCCAGAAAATCAGCTGCACACTTTAACAACTGGCAGAAGATTTTTCACTAAGACAGTTGTTCCATTGATCTGGAAATGACAAGATTTAGGACATGCATTTACATAGAACAGAGGTGGGGACAGCTTGAAAAGTTAGCAGAGTATGGAAATTTTCAAGAACGTAAACCTGAGGTTTCCATCATGGACCATATGTGTGCCCCCAACAGGCACTGCCAAATAGGTTATCCTGGGTAACTAAAGCTGTTTCAGACTGGCAGTAAGAAAGTCAGAAAAATGAAAAGTAGAAAATGTTGAGAAGAAATGCAGGAATTATTCAAACAGATAAAGTTAAAAAAAATAAAACAACAAACAAAAGCAGAAGATCTCATCCTCTGTGAACATCTCTAGACTGCAAGGGAATCAAGTTAATCAATCTCTCCTTAAGATATCTGGAGGAAAGAGAGAGATGGAAAAAAGGCAGAATAACCCAAATCCTTCATATCAATCCCTGTGATCTCTGCGATTGTC